TCCTTTATGGGTCCGCCATGACCCCCTAAACTGTCCCGACATTGATTCCGATTAGCATCTACATCGGTCCGGTGTGACCTCGTCAACTGTCCAGACTTTCATGGTTCTGTCATCACCACCATTAGAGGATCCTTGTTGGTGAACTTCATCTTCTCCCGCCATCCTTGTTGGAGTTGTGTGGATTCCAGATCTCGTTGAGACCATTAACCAATCCGCCTCCCCAGCGGAGTCGCTAAAATGTAGGAGAGGGTTCAAGAAAGGAGTTGGAAAATTCGAAGATCTTCGAAGATCCTTGAAGAACAATTTCGAATTCTCTAGAATATGATGAGAGGCTTAGATTCTTCAATAATCTCAACTTAGGAACACGACAACAAAGGAGATGATGGAGATAAGAGATTGGGTGAAGAAGAAGGCAAAATGGCTAGAGAATAGAATAATGGCAAGGCTCTCCCATTGATCTCCCACTTTCACTCTCAAGGTTGATAATGGAGAAGGGAAATTAGTTCTTTCCCAAGAGTTAAAAATTTCCAAAATCCATCCGTTGTAAAGCTATGGGTGGGTGCTATTTATAGGCACCTCATGATGTAGGATGGAGCCCATGTGCTAGGCACATGGGGGATATTCTCTCTAACCACCTTGTCCGAGGGGGTGACCTCTCCGAGGAGGTGACTTCTCCGAGGATGAGAAAACCCCGAAGAGGAGATCACTCCCTCGGCGAACCCTTCTTCTTAGCCACACCTAACCAATGATCTCCAATCATCCCAAAGGGTCAGGGGTAGTCCCAGAGGACGTCCTGCCGCAAAAATATTGCCGAGTCTCATGGACCCCCCGGGGTCGTGCCACCTCGACCCGGGTATAGGCTAGTGTAACCGAAGAGTGAATTTATCTGCACTCACCGTCCTCGGGATCGGGTCCTTTGTTCGAACTCCATTACGGCCATGGTTCTGGTGCGTAGATCCCGGAAAGCTCCGAGCCCGCAAGTGTTCTGGGACTCATTAACGGAGCGACTTCTAGATTGCGTCTGAATCCGTTCGAAGCCAAGTACTTCGGATCTCTAGATTCGTGGGTCCGAATCCTTTCGAGTCCGAGTGCCTCGGATCTCTAGGCTTGCTTAATACCTTTTCGAGTCCGGGCCCGAGTAAGTCTCTATGTTTGTGGACCCGAACCCTTTCGAGGCTTACAGCGATTCAATCCGTTTGATGGCGATAAATCTGGGCCCATCGATTCTTGGACTTGCGATAAATTCGGGCCCACTAATCTTGGGCTATTGGGCCTAAATAATTTAGTGGGCTCAAATTAGCCCCTCTTACACCAACTAATCCATATATTAATAACTTAAAATTTAACATTGCTTCCTATTCAACTGATTTAAATAAAAATGAAAACTTCTAGCTGTATAGAATTAGTTATAGAATTAGATACAATATTATGGGGAAAAAAAATAGTTTAAATTTTATTTACATTATTTTTACATTTTTCCTTCTCTTTTTCAAATTCTTATCCAAATTTATAATTTAAACCCAAAATATTTAAATATCACCTAATGTAAAAGAGTTGTGTCCAATCCTATAATCATGTAACAAAGTTAAAAAAAAAAAACATATACAATTCAACAACTTTATTAAATCATTAAATTCAAAGTAAAATTTTCGTCATCATCATCATCATCATTCCAATTCCACAAAACCTAATATCATTTCCATTTCCTTTTTACTAAATCAAAACATTCACATTTTAGGGCAAAACCCCCTTTATTTATAAATCAACTAATTTGTTAGATTATATTTTAGTGATTGTCCAAATTATTATGGTGTGTGCAGCTAAGTCGTGTGTAATGTTTTAGAGGTGGGATAGTTTTGGTATTACGTTGGGTCCCTAGAAACTTCATTAATGTTTAAATTTTATTAATGCGGATTCAAACAAATGGAATTCCATTAAAAAAAAAATAATAATAAAATTAATAATAATAATAATAATGATAAGCAGGGACTGTAAGCGCCACCCTAATATAATACTACTATACTAGTTTTCTCCATTATGGAGTGTGAAATGCTCTATGAAAAAAAAAACAAATCCAATAATCATATTTAAATATACTACTATACTAGTTTTCTCCATTATTCACATTATGGAGTGTGAAATGCTCTATGAAAAAAAAAAAAAAATCCAATAATCATATTTAAATAATTTTTTCATATGTATTTATTTTTTTAAAATGAATGACAACTGTTTTTTAAGTTAAATATAAAGAAATTATATGATTGTAATTATCAAATCAATTTCAAATTTAAAAAATGTTATGGTGCGAGACATTCACCCAGAATTTTTTGAGTGGGTAATTATGTGATGAAGATTAAATTTGTGTAGTGTGAGATTTATGTGTAGAATGAATATGAACCACAAGATAATAATTTTAAATAATTTTTGAGTATTTAATTTTAAATTTATAATATTACTGTTAAAATTTTAACTAAATATAACTTAATAGATAAACCATCCAAATAATTAAAATTAGATCCGTAGCAAACAACACATATTCAAATAACATTCTCCAATATAAAAAGAAGACTGAAGAGGATCTTTCCACCCTAGAGCTTTTCATAAAGTATGAAGAGGCTCTTTCCTGCTCCAATTTTCCATAAAATGTGTTTTACATGTCATATCTCGCTCAATGCCGGCCTTATGGGTGAAGTGCTCCTTGATGAGTGAAGCACGTTTTGGTTAATAATAAAATTATATATATCAATTGATATATTAATAGATGATTTAATATAATTTTAGAAATTTTAAATTTTTATAGTTTGAATAATGGATGAAATCTATAATTTTTAAATGATAATGTCTTAGTATGCGTTGGTACATAAATTGATATACTAATTGATATATGTAACACTATTGGTTAGTTAACTCGGTAGACCAACGTTGTTAAAATCAAATCATTGTGC